CCTCTTTCAACAATGAAAAGTTTAGAATACCAATAAAACTCCAAATAGTACACCAATTTTCTTCCATGATTCTTGATACCACTCTCAGTCTGCAACATTACTACGCATGCAGTCACATGCAACTCACAAGTGGGGAAGGAGCACTAGTACTCTCTGTCCAGACACAGAACAGTAATAATCTTTTTGAAAGCCTTAACATGAAGCAGTATTACTCTCCACAAGACCAGCTTGGTTGGTTGGTTGGCTGCTTTTGTGGTCCTAGGGACTGAATCCAGGTCCTCCAGCACACTAGGCAAACATTGTACTTGTGAACCTCACACCCAGCCCTTTTTATTTTGAGACAGGGTCTCACTAAATTGCCCAGGCTGCCCTCAAACTCAGGATCCTCCTGCCTCAGCCTTCCAAGTAGCTAGGATTACAGGTGTGTGCCACTAGGCCTGGCCATGAAACTATTTCAGCTTCTAAAAATGTGAAAATTATTATAAACTAATTTAGTCACTTAGCAAAACTGGGCACCTCTTACAGGGCAGATACTGTCTGGCAATGAATATGAATGAGATACTTAATGCTCACTATTTTACAAACCTTAACAGCCAAGAGCATTAATGTCAATATGAGCTTCAAAAACTAAAAGCATGAGGCCAAACTGAAGCCTGTCATGTCTTATTTCTAGTAACAGACTTATTGACATCCTTACTTATGGTTTTGAGGCATCTTTTGAGTCATTTATAGTGGTATAGCTGAGTGTTAATTCATTGGCAACTTTAGATAAATATGAAAGCCATTTTGGACTCAGAATTTATTTTAACACAGGCTTTCTTATATGACTAAAAACTTCAATTTCATTAGCTACATCTCAAAAGCAAAGCTTCTCTCTCAATATTCAGTCATTCATGGGGTAAACACCACCATATAAGCAGGTCTTCTTTTTAGACAATACACATTCCCAAAGCCCAGCAGAAAATCACTATTGGGAAAATCTTGACTGCCTGTATGGTCCAGAAAAGAGTTCATTCTTGAATAGATTTTTATTTGACACCCATTAAAAGCATAAATAAGGCAAGTGACATTTAAGAGACACCACCTGAAAGACCAATGAGTTAAATCACTACATTCACGTACACCTGTCTTATTCAGGCTCTTCCATCATGCCTGAGACTTTTATCCAGTTTACAATGGCATGTGAAAAATTTTTCTCTATCATCCATAAAATGTGAAACATTTTTCCATAGCCAAACAATTATATGAGAGAAAGGCCCACTTCTCCTAATTGGTATACTTTCTCTTTCTAAACAATGCCAACTGTAATTAGTCTTTCCTTTTTCACTTTGGCAAATTAAAATTAAAAAGACAACTTTAGTTATCTTTCACCTAATTCTCTCCCTCCACACTAATCCCCATGTCTCTTTACCAATATTTTTATAACTCTCTACAACACCTATTATTGTAAAAACATATTAAATTTTTTTTCTCAAAGTAGACAGGTTATAAATTATTAAATAAATAGCTGTCTCTGCACAAATGTTCTAATATATGAGTCTCCTTAGAAAAAAATTAGCTAAGAACTGAAAATCAACTTTTAACATGTAAATAATTTAATAAAAATCAGACTCAGAAAATTCTAAAAAGTCCAAGCTCTATAGGCTAAGAAGGTAGAACACCAAGGAAATAACACTGAGAAAACTGCAGTTTCTACTGCACATGTGTTGCTTTCACACCATCTTAAAGCTGAAAAACTATAAGTGAAACCACCGTAAGCTGGGGATCATGTGTGCATCCACGAAACACCATCCAGTCCCTATCAGTCACCATGAGGAATGAACCCTGAAGGCACCATGCTAAGTGAAACCAGCCAGACTAAAAGGACAGCTACCGCAGGAGTCCACTTCTATGAGGTTCCTAGGGTGGGCAGATTCAGAGAAGGAGAGTTGAAAGGTGGCATAGAGGAGGGCAGTATGTGGGGTTAGTGTTTAAATAGCTACAGAATTTAAGATGGGGAAGATGAATGGTGGAAAGAATTGCAAAACAATGTGAATGCACTGAATGCAGCTGAACTGTCCACTCAAAAAGGCTGCAACTGTAAATGTTATGTGTATTTTACCACATTAAAAGGAAAAAAGAAACAATCTGAAATATTCAGACAAGCAGAGGTCATCTGAACATTCAAGGTTAGACAGAACTTCATTCATTCCACAGGATTTACTACATAGTGTGCAGATTTTCTCCCCTAAAACCCAGCTAGTACAATATATTGCAAAGGAAACGTGAAACATCTCTGAAATCAAAAACAGTGATTCAGTCCAGGCTGTGCCTCAGCTAGATTAACAACTCACAACAACAATCACTAAGCATTAGTTTTCCTATCTATAAAATAAGGATAATATTGAGTTTGTATTGGAATTACAGCAAAAATAAATTAAATGAGAATATATGCAAAGAACTGGACACACCTTGACCTATAATGAGGAGGTACTTAATAAATGTTTCCCATAACTCTGCCACAAATTAGCATGTTAAAGTCACAAGTGAATGAATATCTATGAAATATCTGTTTTCTCAAATGAAACAAACATCTTACATGTTGGTCAGTGGCAAGAATTAAACACCTCAATGTTCTGAAAGTTATTCTCCCTAGAAATCAGTACTGTATGTATTCCTGATTATATAACATCACAAAATCACTATCAAGTAAGAATCATGAGTCACACCAAAACGTCTCTTAAAACTAAGCCAAAAAAGCTCAACAACAGCAAAGCAACCTAGCTATACAACTCATACAGAGCCACAGGCATAATACTCAGAACCAAAATTTTAATGATGAGATGGTGGCATAGACAGTAAAGAATACCCTTATTATACCAACTGCAAGAAGAGGCCTTTATCCTGAAATGAAATTGAGTAATTCATCTTTTCTTAAATCAGCATGTGTGCCATGAGTAAATCAAAGCCACAGCTATGCCACATTATAAATGTTTATAATAAATAAATAGTAATCTTTAGTGTTTTTATCTATGTACATGATTTATAAAATAAGTTCTAAAATAGGCTTTGAAATAATTATATGTGTATGTGTATGTGTACTGCATGTATTACATATAGCATACACATGCCACAGGTGGCTTCAAAAAAGACACTTTACAAAATACACTAATGATTCCAGAATCTAGTTCCCAAAGATATGAATATTAAGTTATTGTTTGCTAAAGGGCTTATCCAGAATTCATGTTTTCATAAATTATTTGAGCTCTTAGCCTCGATAGATATTTGATATTTATACTAATAAATTTTTAACCTAGATGTTCTTTTGCAGGGACTGAACTCAGGGACACTCAACCACTGAGCCACATCCCCAGACCTATTCTGCATTTTATTCAGAGAAGGATCTCACTGAGTTGCTTAGCGCCTCTCTATTGCTGAGGCTGGCTTTGAACTCGAGATCCTCCTGACTCAGCCTCCTGAGCCCCTGGGATTACAGGCGTGCACCACCGCACCTGGCTAGGTAAACTTTTCTTAAAGCACATCTTTAAAACACATTTCCCAAGTTGACTAACTCCTAATTTGAGGCCTGCACTGCTGAGTATGCTGCACTTGAAAACAACCTCCAGCAAGATAACTGACAATCGGGATGGTAAAGATTTAGAAAACTGAGAGAGAAGCACAGATTCTGAAGTCATACCTCCTGCTCATCAGACGCCTTCAAACCTGATCTTCAGACCTAACACGCACCATGTGCACCGGGAACTTATCCCTTCAACCACAACTTTCCTCACAAAAGCAATCGGTGACCACTGCAGAGCAGGGCCTCCAGCTCATGGGTTTTCGCAAGTCTTCAGGGGACTGCCTCTGTCCTGCAGCAGGGCCACCTGGGCAGCTCGGCTTTCCTAGACAACCCACATAACCCTGACAGCTAACCTGAAACACACAGATTTCCCCCAAAATTGAAAACCCCGAAGCTCCTTCGCAGATCCAGGCATCCTGGCACAAAACACATCCAAGGGGAGGGGCAAAAGATGGCCTCGGCCACCCGCCCCCTGGGACTCTGCAGACCAGGTCCCTGGGCAGTAAACACACAGGGCCCTCCTCTGGAGAACAGGCTCGCGCTCTCCCGCCGGC